CTGGCCCCCCTGCGCCTGCTGCGCGAGCCCTGGAACGCCAGCGAGAGCAACCAGAGCAACGCCACGGCCGGGGCCGGCGGCGCCTGGTGCCAGGGGCTCGACGTCCCCAATGAGCTCTTCCTCACGCTGGGGCTGGTGAGCCTGGTGGAGAACCTGCTGGTGGTGGCCGCCATCCTGAAGAACAGGAACCTGCACTCGCCCATGTACTACTTCATCTGCTGCCTGGCCGTCTCCGACATGCTGGTGAGCGTCAGCAACCTGGCGGAGACGCTCTTCATGCTGCTGATGGAGCACGGCGTGCTGGTGATCCGCGCCAGCGTCATCCGCCACATGGACAAGGTCATCAACATGCTCATCTGCAGCTCCGTCGTGTCCTCCCTCTCCTTCCTGGGGGTCATCGCCGTGGACCGCTACATCACCATCTTCTACGCCCTGCGCTACCACAGCATCATGACGCTGCAACGGGCCATGGTGACCATGGCCAGCGTCTGGCTGGCCAGCACCGTCTCCAGCACCGTCTTCATCACCTACTACCACAACAACGCCATCCTCCTCTGCCTCATCGGCTTCTTCCTCTTCGTGCTGGTCCTCATGCTGGTGCTCTACATCCACATGTTCGCCCTGGCCCGCCACCACCTCCGCAGCATCTCCAGCCAGCAGAAGCAGCCCACCGTCTACCGCAGCAGCAGCCTGAAGGGAGCCTTCACGCTCACCATCCTCCTGGGCGTCTTCTTCATCTGCTGGGGGCCCTTCTTCTTCCACCTCATCCTCATCGTCACCTGCCCCACCAACCCCTTCTGCACCTGCTTCTTCAGCTACTTCAACCTCTTCCTCATCCTCATCGTCTGCAACTCGGTGGTCGACCCCCTCATCTACGCCTTCCGGAGCCAGGAGCTCCGGCGGACGCTGTGGGAGGTGGTGCTGTGCTCCTGGTAGGCAGCGGGACGCGGGGAACGGCACGGCCGCCCCCGCTGCGGGATGGACGGCCGGACGGATGGACGGCCGGACGGGACACGACACGCCGCGGGGCGTCCCCCTCCGGCGCCCCGATCCGGGCTGGCGGGCTCGCGGTACCCAATAAAGGCTC